CTTCTCCATTGGAAACTTATACCCAGGCAAAGGCATTTTTTAACATAGGGGCTTTGAAGGTGTTGCGTTTTCTCATGTTTTTGTGGTTACATGCTAAAATTGAAACAAAATATTGTTGAAAGCTGAAGGGGTCATGGGGACATATGAAACCAAAAAAAGGTGAAGTTGAAGTTTGTAACTAGAAATGAAAAGTAAAAGTCACTGGTGAAAATTTTACAGTGGACATTTTTCTTCAAACACATACCTCTCCCTAAAACCCCCATTGTTACCTTAAAGCATGAGACAGGTCAGCCTTGAAGTCTTTAGTTTAAAGGAATGTGATACTGTGTCATATAAGCTGGCATTAGGGCCTGTGTGGAGTGTGTGTGTGTGGTGTGTGCGAGCGTGTGTGCTTGTGATGAAAGACTGTGTTGTTGCCTAAAAGAATTTGATTTTGTGGTTTGTTCTTTTTTTCCAAATGAATATTTATTTGGAGATTTCTTAGGGCAAATGTAAAAGATGTATCCCTTTTCTTATGTTTGAGGACATCTATTGTCAGTGTACTAGTACAACTTGGTTTACATCTTTAATACTTGATCACTGAAAGTTTAAAAATGGAAAACAGCATCAAAAAAAGGAATAAAATGTGTTGTAATGAAATGGTGTGGTGTCCTCTTTGTTGTTTGAAGAGATAATGTTGATACCAGCGTAAACTCCCCACAGTGAAGACTCAAAGTCGGAATGGCTGGCCACTTGCTCTAGAAAGTAGCTAGCATTAGCTCCTTCCCTGATTTACACTGAAGGATCGCCTGTAATCTCAGAAAACTGTATGTATATAAATCACTAAGTGGAAACCAATTTGTTCTGTAAACACTCACCCAAAACGACATTCATTCATTCATTCATTTAGGATTAAAAGGAGAGTGTTGGTTCATAAACATTCACCCAAATCACAATTTTTTTTTTAAAGGATAAGAGGAGGGTGTTGGTTCAAGGTGCCCCAGAGGTGCCTCAGAAGAAAAGCCTGGTGATCTACTTTAAGAAATGTCTGCCACTGGTAAAAAAACCCTATGAAAATCCACAGTTGTGTCTGACACACAGGGAATCACACACAGGATTGACTTAACATCAGCTGGTATAGTTCCTACAGTTGACTCTGATAGGCTAAGAATATTTCCAAAGGAGTTCAACCCATTATTCTAAAAAAAAGGTAGGAGGGGTTTCCGAAGTCGTAAATGTCTAAGTGGTGGTGGTGGTGGAGGTATTGTATGCCATCAAGTCCACACAGACTCATAGCTGACCCTCCAGCGGGTTTTATGAGGCAGTAAAATTGCAAAGGAAGGAGATTATCCATCCTCCCCCAGAGCAGTTGCTGAATTCAAACCACTGAACTTTTGGGATATACAGCACAGTACAGCTTCTTACCACTAGGCTGCCAGAGTGGTTAACAAACTTGTCACAATCTCCCTTCATCGGATTTAGAGTAGCAACGTTATTGTGACTGAATTGACCCGGGAGTTAAGAGCTTTTTTTTAAAAAAAAAAATTATTTTATCTTAGTGTGTGTGTGTGTGTGTGTGTGTGTGTGTGTGTACCGTCAAATCGGATCTGACTGGGACAGGAGGAGATGGCCCCTCCTTGGAACCGGGTATCTCTGGGATTGCAGTGCAGCTTCTTGCCACTAAGCCACCAGAGCTCCCCGAGTTAAGAGCTTTGAGACCACCATGTGCTTGTACTCAGACTCCACTCTGGGCGCAATGTGAGCCTCCACAGAGGTTCTGACATTCTGGGAGGTGAGGAGACGGGAAGGAAAGGAGCCGTGGAGAGAACAGTGTGACTCAGGGTCTAAGTGGAGTGTGGATATATTTAGAAGCCTTCCCTCAGCACTCCAAAGGTGAAACAGGCATCCATTTCCTTCTCACCTTCCTACCTGACTGCTCACTAGCAGGGCCAGAGTGGCCTGAGGGACACTTTTGTTCAGGAAAGACCCTTGCTGCTACTGAGAAACCCTTGTTTCTACTTCAGTTTTGTTCATTCATCAGTTGAGCCATTAATTTAGAGACCAGTATCCCCAGCTCAAATCTACCATCACCTCAATTACATGGACAATTTAGGTAAAAAGGTTTATTTAGAATCTTTTCAATTGTCCAAACAGGACGAACTATTTTGGGGGGAGCATTATTCTTCTTGAAATAAACAGTAGGGGAAAAAGTTACACGTTAAGAAATGTGAGTGCGGAAATATAAATGTGGCTACTCTTCGTCCTTGTTTTCGCCTCAGACTCATTGCAACCTCAGCGTTTTAAGAGTTGTTAAAAAGCATCTAGTTCCTTTCTTTTCAAAGTTGTCATCTGAGCAGAGATAGCCTCTGTGGTTTTAATGTAACAAGAGCCAAAAAAGATCCATTTCTTAATTTTTAATTGCACAAAGTCATTGGAAAGCTAGGCAAATCAATATTTGGTGCGCACTTTTAGATGTAAACGTCGAAGTTTGATGCAGTTCCAACTCATAATACCAACATAAATCAGTAGAAAGCGAAAACCGCTCTTTGGCCTAGCCGGAGTGGCTAAGACTCTAGGCCCTGAAGACACAGCAAGCTAGCCGTGGATTGATTCTAAATGTGGTGGCGTCATAACTGTAGCACTGAGAAAAGAGCAGCTACTTTAGAAATCGATCTAAGTGGCTGAGATGCCAGGAGACGGGTCACCGCGCACAGTGAAGTCTCTAGTTACACTACAGCGACACCTACTGCTTATAATGGAAAACACAGGTTCTACTAACGCAGGGAAATCACTTGCTGTGCGAGAACTGGACAATGAAAAAGGATGGCAGAAGAATTGATGCCTGTGAGTTGTGGTATTGGGGCAGTAGGGAGAAGATGTAGGACCTCAGAGCCCTGGGAAGTCCACTAGAGTGGGGCTGGAAAATTTATAGCAGAGGGGAAATGCCTTTGCTCACCACATCCGTTTGCCAGCATAGAAGTAAAGCCAGGCTCAGTGCAAAACCAAACAATTGTAGCAGCATCCTTTGTCTGTCAGGGAGAACTGATGGTTTATTTAGTGTTCAGAGTTGCCCTGCTAACCCAAAAGGCAGTGCCTCTCTGGAGGTTTAAATCCACCAGCAGCTCTTACGGAGAAGGATGGGCAATTTCCTGTGTGTTTTGGGAATTCACTTGAAGGTCAGCTATGAATTTGGCTCTGACGCCACGGAAATAACTTTTACTGCTGGTCAATTTCATAAACGTGGCTAAGGAGCTCTGATGAGCCTAAGTGTTGGACTGCTAATGAAAAGATCATCAGTTAAAACCCACCACTCAATCTATTTGCTTCTCCAGCTTTGGAAAGCCTCGGGGGCCACCCTACTCTATCCTTTGGAGTTGTTAAGAGTCAGACACAAGGAGTTTTAAGATTCATTTGCATAAAATGATGTTAGTACTTGTTTCACTTGCAAGAAAGGGGCAGAACACAGAACATTGTTAAAGTGGACTTCTCTCAAACAGATTAAGTTTAAACACCTTTTATTTTAAGAAATATTGCTTCTAGACTTGCCTGAAGCCAGAATTGTTCTATAAAAGTATCACAGAATATTATACAAGATTAAAAAACACAGTATGCTTCCTAGTAACTTGAAACCTTTTTATAAAGAACATCATTCATGACCATAAATAGGTTTAATCCGTCATTCAGCCGATGACACATACATCTGATAAACAGTTAATTTCAACATATATACAGTCTATAATAAGACTTTCTTAAAGTTATCAAAGATTCACCTATAACAAATGAAATTGTCTTTAAAAGAGTTGACCTTAAACACTTGAAGAAAACAATCATCTATGCGTTTGAATTAAAGAAATCGTTGTTAAGGAAAAAAAAAAGACTTAGAAAGTTGAATACGGTAATTATAACACTCTCAATGAGGTAATAATCCTTTAATCCTTTTGCCGATATTTAAAAATCTAGTACAAAATAATATTTTCAAGAACATAGGTTTTCAGAAGTTATTTTTAATTCTGCCTTTAGAATATAAAAACTTGAAGATCTTAAAAATAATCATGTAACACCACCACCACATTAAGAAATTAACCTCACACATGGTGTGTTTAAATTATGAAAAACTTTGAGTTTATTTTATTGAAGAGCATTTATCTTATATAGATTCACAATTAGACATACTTTCTTAATACTTATGCTTAATATCCAGATAGCGAAAGCAAAGAAGAAAAGGGGGTCGTCTTGGGTCCTTTTATCCTGTCAAAGTAATCAGAATTGAGCAATAGGAAAGATAAGATGGATACCTGCAGTTAGGCACAGGAAAATCAGACAGCCTCAGTTCTGCATATTCACTTATTCATTTTTTACTGCCAACATCATTAGCCATGCCTTTTTGCTAATCAAGGTTAGCAAGTCGAGGTAAATCACATGCAATATTTTCTGGCAAAAAGAGTATGCTAAACAATATGGATCCATTCTCTGATCCTGTGTGCTGTGTCTGGGCGTCTGTTTTATTTCCAACAGACAGTGGGACTCTGACAAGCCCGGGAAGGGAAAATTAGACTAACCGAACAGACATGGCAGCCAGATCGCAAAGTGCAAAATCACTGAACCCAAAATGACAACGGGGAATTTCAGTGGTTAAAAATGAGGCAAAGCTACTTTATGCAGGCAGCGGAGGTGTGTGTGGGTAGATTCGCTGATGGTGTCAAGTTTTAGAAACGTAGAAAGTCACAATCCTAGCCATCTTGATCGGGCAACATTTGTATATACATGTCCCCCCCACTTAGAATAGATAATACTGTTTTAGTACCAAACCAAAGGAAACAAAAGGCCCCTCTTTCGTTCTACTTTGCAAAGACAGTGAATTAAAACAGTGCACCCCTGACTGCACGCTGCTCACGCGTACACTAATTTCTTCAGCACAAAAGTGTCGAAGATAGCTTGGAATGTTGGTAGCTATGGTTGCTTTATTAGTTTACTAATAAAAAGTAAAAAAAAAAATACTGTGTATAAGGTAACAATTCCATCTAATCAGAGGAGCGTGGCTGGGAGGCGCTGCCTTCCGGGAGGCGCCCCCCATTGGGACGCTCCTCCACGTTGTGCGATGTCCTTCCCGTGGAGCTGCGGTGCACAGGAGGCTGCACAGTGGACACACTGACCATCTGACGGACGGCGGTCTCATCGGAATACACGGGAAGATGCAGTTGGTCTTGAAAAGCATCTCCTCTCCGCGCGCCATCCGGGCGGAGCGCGTTCCCGGGCTGCAGTGCCAGCTCCATCATGCTGTTGCCACTGAAACCGCCGTCAAAGTGACCGATCCCTTCTTGTCCCATCTGCTTTTCAGTTTTGAGATTTCTCCAGTGTTCAGAATCCAAGCGACTAACTTCTGGAATGTCGTTATTCCATTCAAGTGTCCTCTCTGGGCTGAATGTTGGTTGGTTCCAATGCAGGGTGCTCAGGTCGGCTGGCAAGGTGAAATGTGGAGCGTCCACGTGGCGTGGGTCTTCGTCTGGCTCAGCAGAGCCCATCTCGGCTGGCTCAGGGGACACGGCCAGGGACCCATCACTCTGAGCAGTTTTAGTCTGATTTCTTCGATTTTGCTCATGGTGACTGTTCAGCAGTGCAAATACTCTATCTACATCCTTCAAGTAATTCACCCAGTCCAGCTGACTAAGTCTATAGTTGTGTCTGTACGCATAGATGCTTTCGTTCACGTTGTATAAGTCCACCAGGCCTGGCCAGTTGATGTCTGCCGTGGGACCTGCCAGATTAACCTTCCCATCCATCCCATAACTGTCCTCTGTGAAAAGAGGAGATCATTAGAATGCAATATTTACATTGATTTTACAGACAAAGTCAATCCAACCTATTGCAGTGTATTCCCCCTCTCCACACAAGTAACTGGTTATCAAGAAGTAGCCTTAGGTTATAAAAGTGTTTATACAATTAGTTGGGAACAGGATCAGATGCACGGCAAGTTCCATGACTCAGCATAGCTGGTTCCTGAGATGGTAGTGGGTGTTTCTAAGGTTCTTCACATCTGGGGATATTCATGCCCATTCTGAAATGGGGAGATCCTGTGAGTGAATCTGAGTATTGCCTTCCTCCCTTCTGACCCACCTGCCCCATCTGCCAAATGTAGGATTTGTTATGTGATCAAACCTGTAATACCTATTGGGCTGGGTGAATGCAGAAGCCCTGGAGTGACTCAATGGTTCTAACAGAAAAGAGTGCAGCTCAGGTTCACCCAGGGGCACCTAGGAAGAAAGGCCCGGCAATCTGCTTTTGAAAGGTCATAGCCTTCAAAACCTTGCAGGGCAAAGTTCTCCTCTCTATTTGAAAGTATTTTAGTTTCACATATTTAGTAAAATACTGTTCTCCTGCAAGCCCTGACATTTTGGAAAACAAGACCTAAAACAATAAAAATCTTCAAGTCAAAAGCTTGATCTATTTCCTTGGTTGTTTTTCATCCTAGAAGTTCCACACCCAGTCTTTGAATGCCATTTTCATGGTGTGTAAATCACCATCACCAGCTACATCATCAAGAAGGCCACAATCTTAAATAAAACAACACTTTCACCCTGGTTGCACTCAAGTAACATTTAGAAAGATGGTGAATCCAGCCAATGACTCACAAATTCGGCAAGATAAACAGGTAAAACCACATAAAACCTGGACCTTAACGTGGCTAGAAGTCAGAGACCACCTCCATCTTCAGATCACCTGCAAATGGAAGAAGTTAATCCCAAATCCTAATGGGGCTCTAGGAAAACTATAGGGAAAGGAGGAGAGGGATTGAAGATGGAGCTGAAGATGGATTTAAGGCCACTGTTGGAAAGAATGTCAGCCTTGCTTTTAAGACATAATTAAAGGCCCAGTGATTCATAGCATTAATGGAAGGAAGGAGCTTACAAAAGTGCATGATTCACAGAGAAGTCTTTGAAAGGCATTGCTTCAGAAAAATAGGATACACATGGAGGGAGAAGCATTCTTAGAAACTGAAATCTTAGAAAAGGCAGAAAGGGGAGAAATTTCAGACCCTGCAATGAAAAAAAGAGAGAAAAACTGAAAGAAACATGGCTTCTCCTCTTGTCAGCTACTCCCTAAAATAAACATAAAAGTATATTTGGTTCCACTGACAGAAGAGAATGCTCTGGAACTAGAAATCTTATAAATAATCCAAATATACAAAGCAGCCTAAATCTTTAAAATACGTGTTTGAAAGAAAACATTAGAATACAAATTTATTGCCTTTGGAAAATGCCCCCCAAAAAAGACCCCCAACAAACCATAAAATGAGGAAAATGATAACACAGCAATTCTAAAATGAAATGAAACATTTTCAATTAAGCAACTGAGGAATAGAAACCATCTTAAATTAGAAGTTAAAGTATGAACCAAGATTTGCATATCCAAACAAAGTCTGAAGCATAAAATAATGAGGTAAAGATTAGAAAAATAATCTATTTAGTTAACAAATAAAAATTCTGATTATTTGAAAAAAGGAGTAAAAAAAAACCACAGTTGCCAAATGACCAGCTAAGCTAACCAAGAAAAAAGAGAAGGCCTAACTATGTAATAAAATGATGAAATATACAATTTTTTAAAAATCACAGGAGACTAAATCACAAACATCATTGTAATATAATTTCAAAATCCAAAGCAATGGATCATTCTTAAGAAAATACAACTTAACAAAATTGACTCCAATAGAGAGAGGGTTTAAACAGAGCAATTTCTGTAGAAGAAATAAAAATAGTTCTCAAAACTCAGAAAGAAGCAAAAAAATCCCTATAGTTTTATAGGAATTTTACCCAAGTCATCAGGGAATTGAAATTGCTATATGATTTGTTTCCAAGCATAGAAAGTGAGCTTTCTTTATTGACTATAGCATTGAAACTTACAGTAAAGAGAATAAGTCTCCCAAAGGTGTCCACATCCAGATCTTCCCAAACAAAATAAAAAAATCACACTAGTGCAACAGTAGTATTTATAGCATATTATCTTTTGTATAAGAAGAAAGAGAATAAAATATACATCATCTGCTTCCTACTGCAACAAGACACATAGGAAGATAGAGTGGAACCTGAAAAGAGAGTCTGCCTGCAAGCCATAGAGGTATGAGACCAGGGAGAAGTGACATTTCTTTTTTGTATAGCTATGACTTTCAGAACCCTGTTAATTTATTACACACTAGGAAAATCCCCCAAAATTCTATCAAAAAAACTAAAAAAACTCATTGCTGTTGAGTCAGAACTGACTCTGAGGGATTTCAGAGTCTGTAAATTGTACTGGAGGAGATTGCCCATCTTTCTCCCTTGGAGTAGCTGGTGGATTTGAACTGTCTGCCTTTGGGTTGGCAGCTCAATTCCTCAGTCACTAGACCACCAGACCATCATCAGAATGACACAGATGGGGGGAAGGGGGGGAGGAACCTAGAATGAAATAAAAAAGAGATTAATGAACCATATACTACTCTGTTGTTATGTTATGTGCCATTCTGGAGACAGAATCAATGTATAGCTGACCCTCCAGCAGGTTTCCAGAGGCGGTAAATTGTATGAGAGGAGACTGCCTAGCCTGAGGAGCAGCTAGTGGTATTGAACCATGTGCCTTTGGGTTGGCAGGGCAACTCCTTACCATTAACCACTAGAGTTCCTTTTACTACTCTACTTCTAAGGAATGTCAAAGTTCCAATAATGGGTGGGATTAACTCTAAAGAACTTTGAATAGAAAGAGAGAAAATAATAAAGAGAATGAGGTACAGTATCTTGGTATTACTCTTGTAACCTTTCTATGAATGATATCAAGATATAAAGTTTAGGAAAGTATCTGGACATTGGAACCTAAATTCTCCACTTGCATGTCGTGCTTTCTGTCTGTCTGTAACCTTATTCTTGGGTCATTCTCAAATCTTTTATCCAGAGAAGATAGTTGTGGGTTATGTATGTCCTGAAAAGTGAAATTTCAGAATTAAGGTAGGTGATTTCAAGCTACAGGTAATTCTCATTCTGGAAACAGAAAAATCACTAAAGGAAATTTAAGAACATATCCCAGTCTCGAGGTTAGCCACAATTCTCCCTAAGCACTTTCAAAAACATGGCCAATACTCGGGCTTCACTGTGGAGCATACTAGTTTTTAGTCTTTTACTAAAGATTTTCCAGGCTTGGAGCCATTATGAGTTAAACAGCACAAAACCACCAACAACAATTTTTGGGAGCCCTGCAGAGGCAGGGCTTATAAACCTGTTTAATAGAAGAATTAGCTAGAAGATGAAGAAAAAAATGAAAACAAGGCCACATAATCATGTTATTCTCCAGAGACAGGTAACTCCGATATGCACGTGTGAAATGTGAAGTCCTGTCAGAGCACTATTTGAATCCACCCCAGCTAATGGTGCCATGAGAAGCAGTGACAATGACCTGTGTAGATACAGCCTGGCTCCTGTCCACTTCTCACAGCTTCTTCCCTTCTGGCTCTCCACCATCACTGTTGTTGTTGTTGTTACGTGCCGTCGAGTCGTTTGCGACTCATAGCGACCCTATGTACAACAGCCCTAAACCGTGCTCTATCCTGTGCCAAACTCATTGCCTCTGACACACCCATCCCGAGTACCCCAGTCACTGAATCAATCCACCTCATAGAGGGTCTTCCCCTCCTGCGCTGTTCACACTTGATTTCCTGAAATCCTTCCTTTTCTCTCATAGCTTTTATTTATTCTTGGAATGTATTTCCCTGCCTCATCTGCTCTCAGCCTTCAAGATTAGAATAAGAATCATTCATTCTGTCTACAATGTCTGTCTTCTCATCAACACTACATGAGTCTCTCTATCAATAGTGTCCAGCTGTGGATGATTCTGGGTGCTTGTGCTCAACAGAAGGAACCCTACTGGCACAGAACATTATGTGATGGGTGGCTTGAATCCACCAGGTGTGCTTTCAGAGAAAGATGGGCAGCTTACACCTGTAAAGATTTACACCTTCAACGTGGCCATGAGGGGGAAGTGACATCACAGCTGTAGGGTTTTGCTTGCTTGTCTTGGTGCTCAGTAGAGGAGTATTGAGCGTTGCATAGAGTTAACACACTTGGCTAATAACCGATAGGTTGGAGGTTTGAGTACACCCACAGGCACTTTAAAAGAAAGATCTGGGGATTCACTTCTAAAAGATTGTTTTGGGGCAACTCTATGTTCCATAGACTGCCAGAAGAACAAACAGATAAATCTTGGAGAAGGTGCAGCCAGAATGCTCCTTGGAGCCAAGATAGAGAAGCTTTGTCTCTCATATTCTGGACATGCAGCCAGGATAGGCTATTCCTTGGAAAGGGACATGATGCTTGGAAAGATGGAGGGTCAGTGAAGAAGAGGAAGACCCCAATGAGATGGACTGACACACTGACTGCAGGAGTGGGTTCAAGTGTGTCAGATGATGAGGACAGAGCACGAATCAGGTCTGTTGTTCACAGGGTTGCTATGAGTCGTACTCAACTCAGCGTCACCTAATAACAACAACATGTAGCACATTCTACTCTGATACATGTGGGATTGTTGTGAGTTGGAACTGACTGAAAAGAAACTCATTCACTGGCTTCGAAAACGAAAAAGCCAAACTCACTGTCCCTGAGTTAATCCAACTCACAGCAGCCCGCCTGGACAGGGCAGAACAAGCCTGCTGGATTTCTGAGGCTGCACATCTTGACGGAAGCAGACCACCTCGGAGGTGCTCAGAGGATACAGGAGGTTACAATATTGTCAGTGACAGGATAATATCTACACGAATACAAGGAAGTCCAGTGAATACCACTATCATTCAAATATATGCACCAACAACCAGAGCCAAGGAAGAGGAGACAGAAGATTTTTACCAACTTTTATAATCGGAGATTGATCGAACATGCAACCAAGATGCAATGATAATAATGGGTGACTGGAATGCAAAAGTCGGGAACAAAGAGG